CAAATATATAAGCAATTTGACCCCCCAATCTGCAAAGGAGCCCGGCAACGGGCTCCGGAACAGAGCGGGGAAGTGGCGCTGTGCTGCGAGTCGTCTGCTTCTTTTGTGGAGTGAAGCCGCGTAGCTGTTGCCGGAGAGCGCTGCCTTTTTTCCTGGACAATTCGGACTTTAAAACAAATATCCGTGAGTACCCAGAATTTGAACAAATTGGGACATTAAATGAAGACTAGTGAAAAGGACAGAATTGGACTATATATAAAAAAAGAAAAATCGATTGAATTTGGTACGGAGCGGAAAGGGCTAAACAGGAAGTCACGCTTCCGTTCTTTTGTAAATATAACAAAGCAAACACAACCTATACTAGAGCTTTGAAAATTGCTTTTAAAAGAGTGGATTCCAACATTTCAAATTGGGAATATATTTTTTTTGGACTATTTGAAGCAGTAAAAGGAAGTTATTTTCGTCCTGATCCTGGAGCGCGGAAGTCAGGACTGACGTGAACCAATCAAGATATCTGTGTGTGACAGATAGTTAAAAGAAGAAAATTTTCGTGACTCTACTGTTCCCTTTCGCATTTTAAAGGAATATATATGGATAAAGTATTTTAAGTAACATGGAAATGTATCAGAAACAAATATAAGTCTTCTCCCTAGGGGGAGCCTTAGAAACTGTAACTAATGCCAAGGACTTGACAGCTGTTACAAAGAATCGTGGGAGAGTGCAACAATGTTTTCAGAAGTTGTGGCTTGCCTGCTCAATAAAACAAATACTCTACTGGAAGAACTACATGATAAGGTGAACCAGATGGCCAAGTCGACTGGAAATCTCAGACTGGCAGTGGAAGGCATTGATCAAACTGTGGGAATATATGTGGAGTCTATCCAGGACTCAAACCAGGATTGTGTTTTGACAGAACAGGGGTTTGTGGCATTAAATCAGGAGTGTGGCTTGACAGAACAGTCTCAACAGGAGTTTGATCCTTCGGATTTGATAATGGAACTTGGAAAAAATCAGATATGGGAAGGGAAAGTTTGGTGTGGTTTGGAAATGGGGGGCTGGATTGACCCCCCTATGTTGGGATATCTGGACTTTTTAAATACAGTAACAGGCTGCGACATGTTTGGAATTGTGGGGGCCCACAACTTCGGAGGGCCCTTGAAGTATGTTCTTAAATACTACATGGAATGCAGCGATGAACAGGGAAAAGGATCTGATCTGATGAGAAGGGTTAAAAACACTATTAAGTTGGAGCTACTACGAGCAAGTGACTACAGCCACAAATATGAAGAAAAGCTGCGGAAGGGCCATGGAAGTGACTTGAGGGCCTCGGACATAAGGTCACCGGGTTAGATTGAGGAATAAGGACTGACAAATCCCGAAACCAGGAGGAAGGGACGTTGGATTAAGATTGGACTTGTTTATATGCTTTTTTCTTTTTTTTCGTTTTTTTTTTAACTAATAGAATGTTATATAAAGTTGATGAATGATAGAATGATAGAAAAATGAATGATAGAAAAATGTTGGAAGAGATTACCTGGCTTTAGTAAAGATGTATAAAGAATTATGAAAGAACATTATGAATATAAGAAGCTGGTAAAGTTAAGATCTAAATTTTAAATTTTAAGGTTTATTTTATAATAGAAAGATGGAAAGGATTTGCTGGGATAATTAATAACTATTAAAGAATTATGAAAGAACATTATGAATATAAGAAGCTGGTAAAGTTAAGATCTAAATTTTAAATTTTAAGGTTTATTTTATAATAGAAAGATGGAAAGGATTTGCTGGGATAATTAATAACTAGAATACAAAGGAAGGGAGGAGGAGGAGGTCTAATGTTTTTCTTCTTCTTTACTATTATTTTTCTTCTGTATTTTTCACTTTCTCATATTTTTAATTTTTACTTTTGTATCTTTTTCTTATTATATGTAAGTTTTTGTATTTTCTATTTTTTGTTTTTGTGTAATTTTTGTATTTTTTTTGAAATCTCAATAAATATTATTTAAAAAA